AAAGAAAACTTGTAAGAAATGGGTAATTTGTGTTTTAGATTCTACACTATCATCAACTAATTTGAAATCTTTTTTTTTAGTATTATGTTTATTTCTCCATAAAACAGAGCTACTAATTTCTGGCTCTCCTTACACAGGGATGTAGCATTTAAAAAGTAGTGAGGTTACTATTCAACCAGATGTTATGTTAGTGAGGTCTTAATTTTGGCTATGTGTAACAGTGTTCCAAAATGAATGTCGGAAAAACAAAACAAGTAAGTGTCTAAACAAGAAAGGGTTGTCTTTCTTTCTCGCGTAAAAGTCAAAAGTTCTATGACAGCTCAGTCCCATGAAATCAGCAGTGGCTCAAGCTCCTTCTATTTTGTGTCTCCTCCAACCACATGGACCAAGATGGTTCACTGCCATGTCTACATTCTGACCAGCAGGTGAGGAGAAAGGAAAATGGATAAGCATCACATCACTTCCCTGAACATATCATTGGTCAGTATATAGGGATATAGTGAGGGAGGCTAGGAAATGTAGGCCTCATTTTGCGTGGCCAAATTGGGGTAAATAAATAGCTTTTGTCAAAGAGCTGCTCTCAACAACGAGAGTTATTAAGTTCTATCACTATGGTTGATTATGACACAGCATATATGGGAAAGTACCTGAAAGAAAGTTTTTGGTGGTCTATATGCAAGGCATTTCGCTTATTCATTAACTTAAGAATATGTAATGTCCAACTCATAGGCATTTTCTTTTGTACCTTTTAGAAACTGCAAAGAAGAAAGTTGAGAAAGACAAAGCCTGTGAACCCAAGTCCCAAAACATAGAAGGAAAGCCATGGCCAGGTAACTCACTTAACCCTCCTTTCATGTAGAACAAAAACATTGTGACAGTGAAGTTAAATTGCCTATGTTATGTGGAATGTGTATTTTATAGGTGAACTTTTGACTTGTGACTTGAAGAAGTATGTAAAATGCGAAGATGAGGAACAGGCAAAATTAATCTATGATAACTCCAGATTCACAGGTACATATCAACAACAAAATTAGAAAGAATAGATCCCAGTCTGATTGATGAATTTAACTTATTGTGGTATCCCTTGATAAAGACTGGACTTAGACAAGACACAACACCAGGTGAACCTGCATTGTTTTGTCCCTGAGCTGATGGATCTAATTATTTACAAGATGGCCCGGCCGGCATGGCTCAGTGGTTGAGTGTCGACCTATGAACCAGGAGGTCACGGTTCAATTCCCAATCAGGGCATATGCCTGGATTGCAGGGTTGATCCTCAGTGTGGGGCATGTAGCATCAATAATTCTCTTTCATCACTGATGTTTCTATCTCTCCTTCTTCCTTCTTTTCTGAAACCAATAAAAATATTTTTTAAAAAATAAGGATTTACAAGATGAATATTTTTAAAAATAAGGATTTACAAGATGTGCTATTGATGAATGTTCTTCTGCTTAAAAACAAATGCATTAGTATACAGTTTTTTAAATCATTAAATGGCCCAACAGCTGCTTTTAAGCTATGATCTAGGTATACAAAAGGAATCAGATATTAGATATTACTACCCAATAGAAATATTTTCATCCTTCCTCTCCCTGGTAGTTTCACATCCAAACATGTGAAACAGGTGAGACTATAGATTGTTTTTGAAGACTTACAAAGAAAGATCTACTCAACAGAGAGAGCAAAGAGTAGCTGTTATTTAACAGTGAGTGTTCCAACAATACTCATAGTTTACTACAATGCTATTTTATCATTTTTACCTTTCATCAACATGTAGTAGAACTAATTAGATCGGTATTATTTTCTTTCTTTTTTATCTTTATTGTTGAGAGCATTACAGATGTCCTCCTTGCTCCCCACCACGCAGTTCCTACCCTACCCTAGGCCTTCACCACCCTATTGTCTGTATTCATGAAAACAACAACAACAACAACTATGGGAACCTAAGACAGCCACTAGACGCTGAAAGATTATTTTCTTCCTATCTGAATTTAAAAAATTTAAGTCTGGGTCAAATAATAAACTGTTTATCCTCAAAATATTTTGGTTGGAAATGTATGGCATTAGTCAAGCTCTTATACCCTACTAGTTCATGTTCTTGTTCTCCTTGTCTTATTTCAATTTTGCTTTACTATTTGGAAAATAAACTGCATGAATGAGTATTTTTTAAGTTATGTCAAATCTCTTATGGAAGTCATAAGGGCATGAATGATTAACTCAATGAATAAATTAAACATAAGTCATTGGGTTAAAATTTTATGAAATGTGTCTCATGTTAGAACATTGAACTTCATGATAAATATAGTAAAGACTCGTTGGGGGAGGGGTTGTAATGGTGGTATTTACAAACTTATTTAACTGGCAAGTCCAGATTGCAGCTGGCTTCAGGCACAATTGAATCCAAGGCCTCAACAATAGCAGCAGGGCACTGTCTTTCTGCCTCTCAGCCCTGTTCTCTGTGTATGACTTTCAGTTCTAGGTTGTTTTTTCCATCCTATGACAAAGATGTCCGTGAGAATATCTCTAAGCCTACACCCTACCAGTTCAGGAATCAAGAGTACAAAAAGAAGGGTCCTTCTCCCAATTGTTCCCCCAAAAGTTCTGGGTTTAAATTCTCATTGGTCTATACTGGATTACATTGCTGTTATACATAGATCATTGGCCAGACCTATGTCACATGGTAATCCTTAGGGCATGGTTGGGGGAGGTTAAGTACCACTTGACTTAACTAAACATTTTACTGGGGAAGAGATGTTTTGTCAAATAAAAAAGAAATGGTGCTGTCCTCATGAAGGGAACATGGATTTCTGACAGGAAAATAGTAGCAGATGGCCATTATAATACATACTCATATATTTTCCTTAATCTTTGAGAAAATTGTCCATTTTACTGTATGTTTCCTGCTTTATAGACCTACATTCAATTATCAGAAATATTCAGTCTTACAAAGAAGTGAAAGGAAGGAGTGCCTTCAATGGAGTTTCCCTTAATCTGCTCCAGTTTGTGCAACTCCTAGAGACATTTGTTGGTGAAGATGCCCCCTTGAGTACCAGTGAGACCCTCACCTCCTTTTTCAAGTGGGGCTATGCTGAAACAAAAGAAGAGAAAATGAGTGACTTGGAAGAGGTGAGTAATACTGTTTATCAATGAAACAAGTGAGGTCACTATTATTAAATTTGTCAACCTCAGTAGTTCCTAGTGTGGCTCTTCTTTAAAAATTTACAACTAAATGTGCCACTATTTCAACAATCATGGCCATTAAATATTTTATTTTATTGTCAAATAAAATGAGTTCACACTTCAGAGAACTCATTCCCCTAATAATATCATGATTGATGATGGCAGGAGATGGTTTATTAGACAGCTTTGTGTGTGTGTTTTCACTGAAGCTTGAATAGCAGACTTAATGGAGCAAATATGTGTATGAACAAAGATATAACAAAGATATCGCATGCATGTGTATCTGTGTGAGTGCATTTACAAATGCACATACCTAGGGTTCAATTACAGCTTGAATATATATTTTTGTTCATGTGCACTGCATCAGGTAGTACATATTTTGTAAGAACTTACTACTTATTTAGGTGTAGGTAAATGCACACACATTAGCTTATATAAACAATTTATGTGCTCGTATATGAAATATGTAAATTAGATTCACCAAGCATATACAATAATCTCAGCAGCCTTATGAATCTTCTCAACTTAATTCTAGAGGTGATATCCCTTTTGCCTCAACTGCAGTTCTCCCATTTAACCAAAAGGTATATATTCACTTTGTTTCAGAAATTAAATATATCTAGATATTAAATTACTGTCAAATTGATATAATTAATCTAATAAAAAGTATAAAATGTAATTAATGCCAGGTTAGGTCAATGTTAAATACAAAAAATATTTTTTGAACACAGTCATTTTTTATTGTTTGAATACTGCCATTTATCCCCCTTCACTACAAAACAAATGCCACCAAGAAGCAGGCAGAGTACCCCATGTGTTTATAATATTACTGTACAAGCAGCGAGGGAGTGGAAAGGAATGAATTAAAGTTTCTTAAGGAGTGTAGTCTTCTTTCTATATTAATGTGTTTTAATCCAATGCAGAAACAGAGAAGTGGTAGTGAGAGGATTAAAATTAAATGATTCATTTTCCCATTAATATCATGCTTAGTCCCAAAGTAAAGCTGTTTTTATAAAAAGTGCTGCACTTTTTTTGGGAATAAACATAGGATAGCAGCTAGTAGAATAAACAGCAAGTCTTCTGTGCTTTGTTATCTGATTTGTATCCTAGGCTATACGAAACACTTCCCAAATTCGACGGGGACTTCTCCTAGAAGCCCTCTTTCAGTTGTGGGACAGTGATGCCTCAGGCTTCCTAGATCTGAATGAAGTTGATGAACTCTTGTATACATACAAGGAGGGAATGGAAAAAGAAGCTATGAAGACAGGTAAAAGTATAATAATTTTCTTATTTAGGCTAACAACTTGCTTTCAAGTTTCCCGGTAATATGACATATATACAATTAAACACTGGTTGTTCTAAAATCATGAGATATTACCTTCTCACTTGCTAGTATGGTGACAAATTGCTCAGGTTTATTAAGAGATAACTGACTTATAACACTGTAAATTATTTTTAAGATGTACAAAATAAATTTAAGATGTACAACATGTTCATTTGATACACTTATATATTGTGAAATTATTCCCATAGTAGTATTAACACCTCCATCGCCTCCCATAATTACTTATCTTTTTCGTTGTGAGAACATTTAAGATCTTAGCAACTTTCAAGTGTATAATACAGTATTGTTAACTATAGTGACTATGCTGCACATTAGATCCCCAGAATTTATTCATCTTATAATGAAACTAGAGGTCTGGTGCACAAAATTCGTGCACAGGTAAGGTCCTTAGGCCTGGCCAGTGATTGGGACCAGTCAGGGCCTTCCTTCCCTCAGCTGACGGCTGCTGGCCAGGGCCTTCGTTTCTTGACACCCCCTGGGAGTCAGCACACATCATAGCGAGTAGTCAAACTCCCGGTCGGTCGAATGCCCAAGGAGACAATTTGCATATTAGCTTTTTATTATATAGGATTTTGTACCCTTTGACCAACATCTCTCCATTTTCCCTACCCCTAGCTCCTGGCAACCACCATTATACACTCTGTTTTCATGAGTTTGCCTTTTTTAAATTCCACATATAAGTGAGACTGTACAGTATTTGTCTTTCTCTGTATGACTTATTTCACTTAATATAATGCCTTCACAATCCATCCATGTTCTTGTAAATAGTAACATGGCATCTTCTTTATCCATTCATCTGTTGATGGATACTTGGGCTGTTTCCATGTCTTGACTATTGTGAATAATTATGTAGTTAACATGGAAGCACAGATATTTCTTTGAAATAGTGATTTTGGATATATACCCAGAAGTGGAATTACTGGATTTATATGGGTACTTCTATTTTTAGTTTTTTTAGAAACTTAATCTGTTTTCCATAGTGACTATACCAATTTACATTACCATCAACATTGCAAAAGGGTTCCCTTTCCTCCACAACTTCACCAAAACTTGTCTTTTATATGATGGCTGTTTGAACAGATCTGAGGTGATATCTCATTGTGGTTTTGATTTGCATTTCCCTGATTAGTGATATGTAATATCTTTTAATCACCATTTGGTCATTTTCATGTCTTTGGAAAAATGTCTTTTTCGTTCTTCGGCCCATTTTTAATCAGATTATTTTTTTGCTATTGAGTTGTATACATTCCTTATATTTTTTTGGATATTAAACCCCTTATTAGATATACTAGAGTCCCGATGCACAAAGATTCGTGCAAGAATGGGCCTTACTTCCTCTGGCTGCAAGCACCACCTTCGCTCCTGCTGGGCAGAGCTGCCTTTCCGCCTTTGCTCCAGCCCGGAACTGCCTTTCTGCCTTCGTTCTCGCCCGGAGCTGCCTTTCCACCTTCCCATGCTGCCCAGAGGCCTGGAGTGGCTGAGGCAGTGCGGAATGCCTGCGTTGTTGTCCTGCCCTGCCCCCAGCCACTCAGCACCTGTGTATGCAAATTGTCCCACCATCTTTGTTGGGTTAATTTGCATGCTTACTCCTGATTGGATGGTGGGTGTTTGCAAAGGCATGGTCAATTTGCATCTTTCTCTTTTATTAGTGTAGATGATTTGAAAATATTTCCTCCTATTCTGTAGGTTGTCTTTTCGTTTTATTGATTGTTTCTTTTGCTGTACAGAACCTTTTTAGTTTGATATTGTGTTACTTATTTATTTTTGCTTTTATTGCTTGCATAGTATGGCATTTAAAAATTGAAATAATTAAATTTTAATGGAAAATAACAATTTCTGGCAAGGATGTGGAGAGACTGGGATCCTTTTGCCTGGCTGGTGAGAAAGTAGAAAGTGTCAGAGCAATCAGGAGTGGAATATGTTGTAGAGTGTTTTGCCCAAACCTTAGCTCTAATGGTTAGATTCCTTCTGTGTACTTGAGTACGCTCAGGCTTGGGGTTAAAAGAAAAAAATCCAAACCATTCCACACTTCTGCTTATTTTCTCTTTTTGTTGTATCTCTCTGCCTTGACAAAGTCTGATTCACTTCACAAATCTGGCTGGCTTGCAAGTGTCTCCTGAATTTACTAACTCCATTTATTCTTCTAAATGACTTTCCTCTTCTATATTATACTTTTCTCTTCTGATCAATTCTTCCCAATCAAGAGCTGCTAAAATTCCTATTCTAATATAATTCCCTCCTTCATTTGATTAGATCCTAGTAGAAATGGTTATACTCTTCCCTGGGTTTAAAGATTTGTCTAATTTCTTTGGCATACCGGATTCCTAACTCTTAAAGTATATAGTGCACATCAGGAGGAATGATTAGGATTAACATTCTTCTGCCCTAAGTTTATCCATTGTTATGTGTTTTTAATTAACTATGTCTTTTGCAAACTTTACATTACACTACACTACTTTCTTAAACTGCAACCAAAAAGGATTTACCAAATGAAGTTTTGAAAGGCATAATGAGGTGATTTTATAATATGGGCAAATTTCCTAACACAGAACCATGTTCTACAGAGGAAAGAACATTACGCAATGGTCAGGAGTGCTAGGTTCCAATACTGGATCTTTCACTAAATGGTCATGTGAGCAAAGGCAAATTATTGAATCTCTGTAGATCCAGGTGTCCTCATTTGTAAAATGAAGGAGTTAGACACTATGAATTCCGGAATTTAAGGAACCTCAGGATAATGTTATAAGGATGTTCCAATATATATGATTGAAGTACAGCAATAGGGATAGGTAGAAAGCAAAAATGTAATGGGTTAAGCCAAGCAAATAAAAATGAAGAAAATAATGAGAAGACAGAATCTGCTGCCAGAAGAAAATGTCTGCAAGCAGGAAGAACGAATTATTCTCCCCAAGGGTAGACTCATACAAAACGACTCTCTCTGAACACATCTTGGTAGCCACCAAGCCTGTGGAGATAACTGCTGAACTGATGGTCATATGGAAGCTGAAAGGCAGATTTTGTTTCTTCAAAAAGGAAAAATTGTAAAATTCAAACATTAGCTAATAACAGATTGGAAAACCTTTAGACAGCTCTTTTTTTATTTGTTTTTTCTCTGCCCTTCTTATACAATTCTGTGTCCAAGATTAAAAATTGGGGTTTAAATAGGATAATGTCACAGAATTAGAAATTCCTAGAAATGTTTCTGCTGGTGTCCTCAAAATGGAAGTTTTCTATATGGAAAGGGCCACTTGAAACTTTTACACTGTAATTTTCCCTTTTTATTCCCATCTAATATAGCCTAATCTTTTGAGCAGAAATATCATATATAAAAATTTGAAGACATTTTGCCTG